GCCTCAAGAAAATGCCATTTTACTATCTAAGAAATTAATAAGAACTTACTTACAAGGCAGTGTATCGTGTTATTCTAGTTCCTAGTTTATAATTGACTTGACCCATAACAACACAACTAATACAGAATATTGATGATGATATGGTAAAACACAGTGATAACATGCTATCCTGTTCTTTACATTGAACTCTTTCATTCTTTACAGTGTCAGACATTTCTCCACTAATATTTGTTTTATAAAACACTGTGACGTTATTAATATCTGCTGCATTGGTAACATCTAAAACTGTTATATTGTCTATAGCATTATCACCAGAATTATATATCATTGCGTTTCTTGTCGTGTTGGTATCCAAGCCAAAGTCTGATGACGTCATATTATTAAATGACGTATCACACAGATTTGAATATATTCCTTCATCTTTGAAAACAAAGACTAGAGAGCTCCAGCCATAGAGGGTACCAGCAAAAAACAAACATTCAAAGAATGCCCATATTGCCATCATGTATTTCACCCATCCTTTCTTACTTTTGCTTAGTGACATTTTACACCTGTAGAGTGTTTCAGTTGTTGATTAAATGACTGTCAATAAAGATCACCTTGATCTGAAACGGAATAGTGAATTGTAATAACCTGTTAAAAATATTGTTGAAAAGATGGTTTAAGTAATAAGATGAGAATGTTTTCTAATTGTATATTATTTTGAAAACTCATAACAAAACACTGCTAATTAATATAAACTTCAAAAAATGATGAGTAAAGTCTTTACTATTTATCTGCTCTTTCATAACTATTTAGAAATATTTTTTTACTAAAATGTTTGAGCATTTAAAATATAGCTAACGTATTAAGTGCTTTAAATTCAAATATTGTTTTACGAGGAAAATAGTTTACAGAGTATCGTTTTCGGTGTTTACTGCTAAGTAACTACAGTGATAAACAACAAGTGATACAGATAAACATAAAATGGCAAAACTTGCATCTATGAGATTGTGATTAACAGTATAAAATTGTATACCTATAAAAGTGTGCCACAAAAGGATATAATTTTATAATTATACCATGCACATTCAACAATTATTTTGAAACAGTTACAAATTTACAACATCGGTCAAATGAAGAAAAAAAAATAGATAAAGAATTATATTCTAAAAACACGTCATATCTTAAGTATCAACTATTTATCTGAAATGATTAGACCACGTAAAGCTGCTAAATTTAGCTTATTAATAAACAAGTATCTGCATTTTACTCGTACATCTGGGCTTAACAGATATGTATACACTAAATTGCAATATGTAGTGAATATAATATAAGCGATTTAAAGAAAACTTTTCAACAACGAACATAAACAAATAGTTTTATATACCGTTGTGTCCAGAAACTATAACAAACTCCTTATATTAAATAATCCACGAGTCAATGAACTTTGATTTTATTAATAATAAACACTGGTAAGTTTTTACATAACTTTCACTACAGTATGAAGTTATAGCTTAAAATGTTTTTAGTTTAGTTTACTATTTTGTGACAGCGCCAGCGTACATTCAGTTAATGATTTTGTTGATGCGCTCAAGGACACTGGTTTTAACTCTATCTCGTTCATGTTTATATAAATTAAACCTTTATTCGGAAGTTAGTAAGTCGATAAGATAATGTTAACATTTTTACGAATCTGTGACTTTTCATAAATAAAGGGACTACTGTAATTTCACATGATTAATTATGCATGCTTGATATAACTCGGAAAAAACAAGCATGTATGTTTAAAGTTCTCAATGTCTGTTAATTAGCCAACTGGAACAGGTTAATGCATATCTAATTACTTTGCCTTTAACTTGTTAAACTGTATTTATTAACTACATCAAAGTTTTATGTTTACATGAAACAGAACATACCAATAATGAAAACCATAAATTCTCTAGATATTTCATTATAAATACGCGTAAAATGTTACAGTTGCAATAACCCTTGTACCAGTACAGATCAGCGGCAGATCGTGATCTTCTATTAAGTCACAACATATTTTGAAATTTTCCCCCTAAAATAATGAATGGTTTTGTCCAGATTTTAATGTTGGGTTAGTCTATTTAAGGTATTTAACGTTGTAAGGGTTAGTCTAGCGGTTTCTTAGGCTCCAAAACTTTCTAATCAGAAAACTAGCCTTGTATATCATTCAACTTTCTTGCAGATGTCCCTATAAGTCCATACTAATATATTGTCAAAGGATAATGCCAATTTTTACTCTTTGTTGTGAAAATGATTAGTAAATTAAATCATTTATGTGCAATTTTCCTGGACAAGAAATCTATTACACGTGCAAGTAGTTGTTATAAGTGTTCATTTTGAATAACCAAACATCGTCACAATATAATAAATTATTTATTATCTATTACTAGGAACGTCTAAAACAGTAGATTAAAGGGCAAACAAAAATACTCATATCAAAAGGTAGAGAATGCTGACATAAAGGTGAACTAGATTTATTCTGAATAGAATAAAATGGACATTGTACATATCGGGAGATTACCGTCTTTGTCGGTATTAATAATTACATAAGATAAATCGATAACATCAATATTTATCAAATCTTAATAACATTTAAAGGTGGCTCATCAAAAATGAACGGCGAACGCATGTACTGTTCGAGCTAATTTAATATCATATTTTAGAATTGTCATCACAGTAGCTTATCAAATGATTACATTACAAATGAATAAAGTTCGTGACAATCGCTCCCTAAGATCTACTGTTAGAACAGACAATACGTCAATGTGAAAGTAGGTTATTAAGGTGTTTCTTTTTACCTAAGTGGCATAATTATTTTAAGTTTTGAAGAGGTCCACTAAACTATTCTACATGTTTAATACCAAAGCTCTTAGCATAGTTGTTCCCACAAGAATACTTAAATGTTTTTATAAAAGACTTTATAAGTAATCCTAAGCACGGTATATTTAAATTTTGTGAGGGACCACAAAGTGATACTTCATGTCAACATTTCCTTGGTAGAAGAATGCCATAGAAGTCTATGAATTTGTAACAGAGTTACCAATGCCCCCCCCCCCCCCGTCTAAGGGAAGATTTACATGAAGCACAAAATTGTGCTGTTTCAAAAGATTGAGGTATGGTGCTGGACTTTCAGTGCAAAATTTTGATCAATGCAAGATATGCAAGTAACAATAAATTCATTAAAGAAATATAATGAAACAACTACTATGTATGTGTCAACAGAAATACATTTGTATAGTTGTTATCACTGTTCCAAAGCCACAAAATATAACAAATACAAAATCAATACAGGATATGGTCTGTTACAGGCAGTCATCAATCAAGGTATGTGGGCAATTCACCAATGACATTTTTTGTATGGGCCTGACTTGGCATCATACCCTGTAACAGACTATTTTAAGCTTTGACCTCCAAGTGTGACCTTGACCTTTGAGGTACGGGTCTGAGTGTTAGGCATGACATGTCTTCTCGTTATAGTATACATTTGCACCAATTTATTTTTAAAAAAAACCTTGATTGATGAAAGTTATATACTGTTGCATATGACACATGGTCCCATTATTGTGAACATTTGTGCCAAGTAATTTTAAAATCCCTTGAACAGTAAAGTGATTATGGACTGGATACAAAATATAATCTATAAAAGAACATGTTAAGCTTTGACCCGTAAGTGTGTCCTTGACCTTGAGATAAGGGCCGGATGTTATGCAAGACACATTGTTTTATTATTGTCAACATTTGTGCAAAGTAATTTCAAAATCCCTTAATAGATGAAAAAGTTATGGACCGGATACGACAAATACTCTCGAATAGACAATGTTGACCTTTTATCACAAAGTGTCACCTTTACCTTGAAGGTAGGCAGCTGTATGTTGCGCACAACAATCATCTTCTTATTGTGAATATTTGTCCTAAGTATTTTCAACATCCCTTGATGGATGAAAATGTTATGAACTGGAAACAAAATATACCTTAGAACAAATGTGACCTTGACCTTGGAGGTAGAGGTTTTTGGTGTTGTACAGGACACATCGTCTTATTATTTTGAACATTTGTGCAGAGTAATTTCAAAATCCCTTGATCTATAAAGAAGTTATGGACAGGACACAAAAATACCCTGTAATAGACTAAGTTAATTTTAGACCTCAAACTGTGGCCTTGACCTTGGAGATAGGCTACTGGTTATTGCGCATGACATTGTCTCATTATTGTCAACATTTGTGCCAAGTATTTTCGAAATCCCTTCATGGATAAGAAAATTATGGACCGCACAAAACACATACCCTCAAATAGACAATATTGACCTTAAATCACCAAGTGTGACATTGACCTTGGACGTAGGGGTCTGTTTGTTTTGCGCATGATACATCGTCTTATTGTAAGTTGTAACAAACATGTTTGCCAAGTTATCTCAAATTCCTTTGATAAATGACATAGTTATGGACCAGACACAAAAGTGTGACAGACCGACGGAGACTATTTCTATATCCACTTTTTTCTTCGAAAAGGCGGGGGATAATTAAATACCCATAGGATGATGCCAAATTTGGTTCCAGGGAAAAGATTAATATCATTTTTTTAAGGTCCACTAAGCAATGCTTTTGGAGGATGTACGTGCATTATTACAGACACGAGTAAGGACCTCAGTAGAAACAATGACGTTAGGTAAATTTGCTTGATAGATTAGCTTCCTCGCATAAAAAAATTCAGTTCCTGACAGGATTCAAACTTACAGCGGTGAGGGTCAAGTAACTTGAAGTCAACCTATACCATTCAACCACAGACACCTCTTCAAATCTGATAATTTATGTTATAATATGAATCCTTAAAAAAACACCATACCTTTAATTAAACACTAAAACCATGTATAACACAATAATTGGATATATAGGAGTATTTGTGCAAAAAATTTCATCTAATAAAGGCAGTTCTGCTTTTCTCAAATAGATCGACGAAAACTTAATACATGTATTTCAATAAATAAGCAACAGTTTTCACAATAATAACTATCCTTTATTAATATATTTTCAAATAAAAGCACACATTAATCAAAAATATGACACAAAAATAAAATTCTACGCTATTGCAAAAAAGCATTTAAAATATCTTTCAACAATAAAAATTGTTTATTTTTTACATTGCCAAACATAACAAAACTGTCTAAAATATCAAAATATGTCAAAAAAAAAATTAATCTATCATTCTGTCCTTTCAAAAAAGATAGGTTTCTACTCATTTCAATTAGGGTTCTTTCAAATATTGAAAAGACCCTTTTTCAATATTTGTAATCTAAAATTTCAACACATGTTTTTAAAACATTGTGAACATAAAATCAACTTGAAATAAAATAAGATACTACATAAAGTAAAACAAAATCAATACTTAATTTATCAAACTAAATATATTGTAAAAATTAAAGCTATTGATATAATGAAATGACTTAGTATGTGTCAGTATTAAATAAGTTGTTTTGAGTCCGACTAAGTCAGACTAAAACCCGTGCTGCGGGCGTTGCACTTTTTCGCTATCACTCATGTACATACTCAATTAAACCGAGTCTGCAATTTTCCTCAAATTATGTTGTTTTTATTTCTTCAAAGGGATCTCTGCTTTTTCTAAACAATCCATACAACTTAAATACTGCTTTTAAAATACCTTTATAGTTAAAACATAAATAACAAGAAATTATCATAGTATTGCAAGCAATCCATAAGTCCCCTACCGGTAAGAGCCCAAGCAACATTCTGAAGGGCCATTCACTTAGGTTCCTATTTTAAGTAAATTTGTTGAAAAAGTTCTTTAAAAGTGATCACAGGAAACAGTTTTTATGTACAGACAGACGGACTGAAGGACACTCTAAAGTTATTTTTTAAACATCCCTGTTATCAAAATATAACATTTTTAAAATCCTATCATGATTGAAGAAGTTGTGGAGTAAAAATTACCAATTTCTCAAAAAAAAGTCTAAGTTCAAAAGGGGCATAATTCTGGAAATAGTCTTGCTAGAGTATTGAACACTCGCAAATGTTGAGTGACAATAAGAAACATTTATATGAAGTTTGAAGTAGATACATTCAGAAAAAGAAGTTATTAAAAAAAAACAATGTTTTTTTCATGAAAATTTTAAGTTCAAGGGAGGTAATTCTGATAAATTTTGTACTAGAGTTGTAAACCTTGCCACATATGATATGGTTTGATGACAAGCAACTTATATTTAAAGTTTGAAGAAAATACCTTAAGAAATAAAGAACTTATAGTGAAAAAACTTAAAAACTAGAATAAGAAATCTTGAAATTCAGTCTATTTGTTGCCATAGCAACCAGAATTTTCAACATAGGAAGATAAGAAAAGGATGTGCATAATTTCCATACTGCCATCTACCCATATGTCAAGTTTCATAAACATATTTTCAGTACTTTTTGTGTTATCACTGGATCCAGGTTATGTGTAAAATTTGCCATATTTTCAGTCTATTTGTTGCCATAGCAACCAGAATTTTCAACATAGGAAGAAAAGAAAAAGACGTGCATAATCTCCATACTGCCATCTATCCATATATCAAGTTTCATAAAAATATTTTCAGTACTTTTTTCGTTATCGCGGGATCCAGTTTATGTGTAAAATTTGTCATATTTTCAGTCTATTTGTTGCCATAGCAACCAGAATTTTCAACATAGGAAGAAAAAAAAAAGACGTGCATAATCTCCATACTGCCATCTATCCATATATCAAGTTTCATTAAAATATTTTCAGTACTTTTTGCGTTATCGCGGGATCCAGTTTTGTGGACGGACGGACTGACGGACGGACAGACGGACGGACGGACGGACAGACGGACGGAGGGTAAACCTAAAGTCCCCTCCGGTAAACCGGTAGGGGACTAACAAGTTCTAATAACAATAAATGTCAAATAATCATATGCTAAAATGACGGCAAAACAATAAAACTTTTACGTCCAAGTACTGTCATACAAGGAGGTTCAATGTACATGAATGTATTCACTCCGAAAGTCTTAAATATAAATAATTTGGTAGTGTAAAATCAACAATAATGTCATGGTTTTTTTTTCATATTTAGTCTGGTGGACAATAAAATAAAATAAATAAATATTATAATCTATGACTATAATGAGATTCCTATTAATTTTAAGTAAACCATCTAATTCTAGCTTTTATGGCGTTTTTCTTACGAAACCCTCACATTTCTTACTATTATAGTAGAATTCGATTAATTATTATTCCTACATGTGTATTTTCTTTATTGTATTAATTTGCATAATATTGATGTATGTACTATTCTTTGCACATGTTTAAGTATTGTTGGTTAAAACAATAAATAGAGGCCATACCTTATAGTATGGTAGGGCCATTAAACACAATTTGATACATGTAGTTTGTTATTCCTCGCGTGGCTGTTCATAAATATTTTTAAGCAAACAAAGTCTTTGGGATATACTATTCTTAGTAACTACATTCACAGTTACTGCATGGCCAAGAGCCTGTTCTGAAGAACTAGTGTCATGGAAAATTAGTAACACAATGCCTAATAAATAATTTGTTTTAAGGTTGTTGGTTTTTGTTATTGTTGGATTTAAATTCAATATTGTATGGAAACTTAGTAGCATTTCTGGTATAGGAGGACCTCAGGTGCCAGCTGTTCATTATTTAAGATGTGAGCTGGTAGACCAACTAATCTTTGATGGGCTAGCTAGATAGCTTCTTAATGTGAAAGAATTCAAAGTGTCATTCAGGATTTGGATTCACAATGTAAAGGGTTAAGAAATTTAAAAGAATAAAAATGCCACTAAACACCAAAGATAATGCCCATTATTGGATGTTACATGTACTGAATGTAATTACTTAAAAGTTAGTGTAAAAAAATAACAGTTTTTGACAAGAAGTTATTAACACAATCAAAATGCAAGGTATACAAAATTTATAGAGGTTAATTTTTATTTAAAAAATCATATATTATAAAAGTTGTGCATAAAAAATAAAATAAGTATTTGAGACAAGTAGTGTACCCTCCATAAATCATTAAAATATGTTAATTTAAACCATAACACCTGCTTAATTTGTGTAAAGGATTTGCCCAGCTTTGAAGTTGGAACAGTCCATTCAAAGGTTGAGGGGTTTCATCATCAAAATACAAAAAGAAAAAATATTCTAGTAATAGTAAGGAAACTAGTAACATATGCTAGCCTGGCTCTATACTGGTGGCAAAGACTAATTTGGTTCTGGCAGGTTAATGTTAAAATGAGTCATTGTTCCTATAAACTTTAAAAAAAAATATCTAATAGAGCTACTTATCAAAATACTTTAACTCATTACAAAATATTAAATAGTGTAACAGTTTTCATATGATAACAAAATAAAAAGATCTAAACTAGTACACTTCATGACTTATACATAAGTCAAGTTAAACATCAAAAATTAAAATCTTTCTATCAATATACGCTGAAAGACATTCAACGACATTTTTTAATGCAATACTTTCTTAAAGCAAAGAGTACATCTAAGATTTCATATACCCATATAATTATTACCTTTTTTCAATCCTTATAATTTATTTAACAGTTTATCTTTTTTTTTTATATGTATATACACAAAAAATATTACCTGACACTGCTGTAAGTAAACAACAGCTCTATCTATACACTTACTTACATTAAAGTTGTATTAAGTGTATAAATTAACAGTTTGCAAAAAAGATACAAAATCAGAAAGGCACTTTACATACCAAGATAGACTCAGCATGATTATTTACTACATAAAAAAGAGAGACTTTTTGTATAAATATTGTGTTATCTGTAATAATTTAACTGTGTAAGTAACAATATCTTTTAGATTTAAGACCAGATTTGTTTAATTATGTCTAGCTTGAAGTAAAATTTACTTAAACATCTCATTAAATCAAAACTAACAAAAAACTTCATATTTCGATTAATTTCGTATACTATAACCTATGTGTAACATAAAATATTACAAAACATACTATATTGATTTACCACTACTTTTAGCTAAAACAAAAAATACAACAAATATCAAACTACATTTAAGCATAAGAGGCTATGAAAATATGATATCTGATCAACAAATACACTCTGCAAAATATATAATTGAGCCGCGCCATGACAAAACCAACATAGTGTGTTTGCGACCAGCATGGATCCAGACCAGCCTGCGCATTTGCGCAGTCTAATCAGGATCCATGCTGTTCACTATCAGTTTCTCTACTTGTAATAGGGTCGGATCCATGCTGGTCGCAAACGCATTACCTTGGTTTTGTCATGATGCAGCTCATATAGTAAACATATAGTAAAGCAGAGTATACAAGGTAAATAGCTTACTCCCGGCTATATAAATATAGTTATTTCTTTACCTGTGATTGACTAAATTGACAATCATCCTGATTATAAGACAAATTGTTTAAATGTGGAAACATTTATGACTACTTTTTTTCTCATCTTTGCTTTTATTTGAATAACCCATAAAATTTAGGGTCATTTACATCTATCATTTCTCAACAAAATCAGCTTTTAAATAGCTCATATAAATTTATAACCTGTAAATTAATAAACTCACCTTGAACTATGGTGAATCTTACAAAATTCTAACAAATATAAATATTTTCAATTAATTCTGACATCAATATTAACAATAGAAATATTTGGTGGATAAAATATATTGTGTATATATATAAACAAAATCATTCTTCAACGAAAATATTAAACTAAAATTAGTGGGCTAAAATGGCCCAGCATTGTTCACAAAAATAAATATTTAGATTTGTTCATGACATGAGGTACATGGCTCTAATGATTTATTTTATCTCAAATCAAATGGTCCCTATGACAAGTGCACAAAAAGTTTATATACAGTTTTATAACACAACATTTATAACGCCACTTTTCATTGGATAATTGTGATATTTATATAATTTTATATACAATGCTACTGTCAATTCATGAAGAAATCTCACTTTTTTCACTAAAAAAGAAAGTTTGTAGAGTTACAATTTAGTTATAAATATTCCAAACAGGTTATATGACCATATATAAACAGATGTTTGCAATAAAACCCTCGCCAGTAGCATTATAGGGACCATATAACCTGTCAAAAATCTTCATCTGCCTACTTATCTACAAGAAAAACAGTAGCATAAGCCTTTAAAGGTACTTATTATCTTAGCTTCAATAGTTCATAAAAAAACATTCAGTTTAGTCATGGTTATACTTTATTTTCAGCAATTATAATTACTGGTAATATGATTATCATTGTTTCAGATCTAAAATTTAATATCTTACTTATCAGCAGGACTATTAAAATATATAACTAAAATAATCCAATTATTTCTAAATTAAATGACATCAAATGTAATAATTAATTATATGCTTGCGTATACATGTATAGAATATATATACGAATCACTGCTAAATATCTCCATAAAAAACCAGTATCAATCTTGGTTTCACAGTTTCAATTTAGCACCTTAAATATATAAACATCTATAGTTCATTCATGCAAGTTCATAATGAAGTAAAGTTATTTATTTATTTTTATATTATCAAGTGAATGACAGATTCACTTCCAAACGGGACAGTTATATTTGACATACATCAGTACTATTCTTGTTAAATTTTAATCAGGTTCATGAAAATACATGGGTGAAAGTTGCAAATTTGTAAGATACTGAAAATTTTAGTTGGGGGGGGCCATAGGAACCCCAGTGGGTCCAGGCCAAAGCCCTGCCTGGGTGTCCAGGAAGCTGGATTCCCCCGGAGCTCTTGATATATAACCTTAACTGCATCACTTATAGGCCTATCAATGCGCAAAACTTTCACCCAAGAAAATAGCAATTTCAATATTGCCACCCAACATATATTTAAAGTAATGATATAATGATAACTAAACCTGATCCTATGAATTTGAAGTATATTGAAGGGGAGTGGTGGTCCTTTGAGTAAGGTATCTGTCTCTCCAACACTGGTATGGTAGGATTCAACCCTACTTTTGTCATGATTAGGTTTCCTCAATCAGTAGAGGTTAGACTTCAATATGGTTCAAATACGCTTTTTTCAAAATCAAACTCTTATAAATAGTGTTTAAACTATTATGTGAAATCACAATTTCAATAAATTCTTTTCTGTAGTCTTTAAAGTATCAAACTTATCTAAGTAAATCATGTTATTCATTTAAAACTTGATTTACTTAATGAGGATCTAATGTCATTTGTTTAAATAAACATAAGATATTTAGTAAAAATTTGTAATATAATAATGTCATTTGTTGAAATAAACATAAGATATTTAGTAAAAATTTGTAAGCAAAAAGCCATAATTTTGCAAACCAGGTACATATCCTTCCTTTTCATATTTTGATACAGTTATGCATATAGTCACCAGTGGTCAATTTTTTTCTGTGAAAACATAGAAGAAACTTCTCTCCCTCTCACCATCATGATTTACAGTTTTTCGAAAAAAAATTTCCATTTCAATCATCTCATCTTCTATGGTTGACCTTAACCTCACCTCAACATTGACCTATAGTTGAATTTAAGCTCTGTTCAACCTTGACCTTTAGTTAACCTTGAACTTCTTCTCTTCCTTCCAACATGTGATCCATAGATACAGAGGATGTACAAACGAAAATAAAACCAAACAAAGAAGGAAAATGTTGGCCTGGAAAGAAAACAATAATATTTGTTAACTATTCAATCATAAGCACTGCATTAAATACCATTTCAACATACATGTGAACTTTTTTTGATGATCAAGTGGGAGATTTTTCTTCAAAAAGAGGGAGATTTTAGAATTTGCAATTAACAAAGAAGAATGTTCTGGCATCAAAAAAGGGAGATTTCTTTAATTTGTGAAAATACCCCTTATTTTAAAAAAAATCTTTGAAAATATGACTGCAGAAAGTGGGTGTCTCCTGCTAAAAATGGGAGAGTTCACATGTATGTTTCAATTTCAAAGAAGAAATTTAATACATGTATTCATACTTGAAATAACTGAACTGTGAAGACATCAATCAATTACTGAAATAATATATAACCTAAGAATTTCCTTTTTTATATCATACACATTCTTTTGTTGGGTTTTACATCAAACCAACTCAGTATAAGTCATTCAAGCAACTTTCCAGCTTTACTGGTGGAGGAAGACCTCAGGTGCCCCTCCATGCATTATTTCAGGCACGAACAAGCACCTGAGTAGACTATCACCATTCACAAGCTAGCTTGATAGCTTCCTCTCATGAAAGAATCCAAAGTCATTGTCAGGATTCAATTCCACAGTGATTAGGGCAAAGTGTTTTGAAGTCAACAGCCTTAACCACTCGGCCACTGATGCCCCCCATTGTAAACTTTCTTTAAGAACATTTTATCATGTACTGTAATATAGATTTTCTAGTAATAGTCATGGTAACCCCTAAAAGACGCTATGTGACTGATATAACATGAGCTATAACAGTAAAAAAGTCACTAGATAAATAACAAGAGGACCATGTTGGCCCTGAGTCGCTCACCAGAAAAAACTGCTTTTCAGTGTTGGAAATTATCCATTGTCAATATTTTCTAATATTAAACTTGAGCATAGAATATGTTTAAACAATAATTTGAAGAAATGTCATGACCTGTGACATTTAAGCTTTAGCTTAAACAGGGCCAATCAAATTAATATGAGCAAACTTGATAAAAGACTACCTAAGAATCCTACAGACAAAGTTTGGTGAACATTCATCAATTAGTTCTGTAGAAGAAGATGTCTAAAGGGTTTTCTATTTTTAGCCCTAGAGACCCCTAAAAGGGGTCAATCAATTCAATATGAGCAAACTTGATAAAAGACTACCAAAGAATGCTACAGATCATCCATCAATTTGTTCTGTAGTAAAAGATGTTTAAGGGTTTTCTATTTTTAGCTATGTTGACCCCTAAAAGGGGTCAAATAAAATGACATGAGCAAATTCAAGTGTGACTGTCACAAGGATGCTACAGACCAAATTTAAAGTAAATCTGCCCAGCAGTTTCAGAGAAGACGACGATTGTTGACGCATGACAATGGATGACGGACGCCAGAGCATCCCCCTTTGATACTTATAGCTCACCCTGAACCTTCGGTTCTTTAAACTATATCTGAGCAGGAAATTTAAAGATCAATGATATAAACAAGAACACCCTCCCCACCCCTGCACCCCACCCCACTCACCCTGAATATATGGTTCTGGTCAGAAAACTTACCCTAGGCTTAAAAATCATATATGCTACCTTTAATTAAAACAAATTGTTTTATCAATTTGGAAATATAGAAGATTTTACTTACATGCAGTGGAGCCTCGGGATATGCCTCGGCCCATGAGAAGAAAGCATACTGTAGAATGCTGAATATACCTGCACATACTATCATGATTCCATACAACATACCAAAATATTCACTTGGAAATCTAAAACAACAATACATATATTGATACATATTTACTTTTAAAATACATGTACTTCTCAAAACAATCAGTAGCATATTTCTTTTGCATAATTAGACTGTTTACGTTTCAGAAAAACATGAGTTTCTCAGACCTGTTAGTACTTGTCTTTTATCTAGACCAGCATTGTCACTTTTTACCTTCCATTGTTACAGCTTAGAACCTTTTACATATCATATCAATACTGAAAACATTGTGGCCTTAAAACATTTCAGAAAGTCAGAAAGAGCTTTATGGAGCGAACTGGATTAGTTACAAATATTAACCTAAATTACATGTGACACATTTGTAGTCATAATAGTTATCATTATCAATAAATGATGACTAAATGGTCCGTGTATTACAGGCATACACAAACTTTGACCTCTCTATGTGACCTCGACTTTGGTAGCAGGGACCTGGATTTTGTGCAAAATACTTAGCTTCACAATGGTAGTCATGATAATGACCAATGATGACTAAATGGTCTGAATACACATTTTCATATTTTTATCTAAACTTTATACCCTATGTGTGACCTTGACCACAGGCACTTGAATTTTGCATGTGACACACAGTCTCACAATGGTGAACATTTGTGCCAAGTTATATTGAAATCCCTCTATGCATGTAGAAGTTTTGCTCTGGACAAGCGTTTTTCAATGACCTCTAAGTGTGACCTTGACCAATGACCTAGAGAACTGGTTCATACAATGCTCTGGACAAAATCTCTATATTTTATCATTTTTAGTGACCTTGACCTTGCATATATTAACCTGAATTACATGTTTCACATCCATAGTCATGATAATGACCATCTGTGTTTAAATACCTCAATAAATAATAACTAAATGGTCTGAATACACATTTTCATATTTTTATCTGAACTTTGACCCCTTTGTGTGACCTTGGCCACAGGGACATTTGTGCCAAGTTATATTAAAATCCCTCTTTGCATGTATAAGTTTTGAAGTTTTATGTAGAAGATATGCTCTGGACAAAATCTCTATATTTTATCACCTTTAGTGACCTAGACCTTGCATATATTAAGCTAATTTACATGTTTCACATCCGTAGTCATGATAATGACCATTTGTGTCTCAATCCCTCAATAAATAATGACTAAATGGTCTGAATACACATTTTCATATTTTTATCTGAACTTTGACCCCTATGTGTGACCTTGACCTTGGCTGCATGGACCTCAATTTTGCATGCGACAATCCGCCTCACAATGTTGAACATATGTGCTAAGCTTTGACCTAGAGAACTGGTTCATACGCATGACATTTCTTCTCACAGTGGTGAACATTTCTATGAAGTTTCATTAGAAACTCTCCATATGCATATGAGATATGCTCTGGACAAAATCTAAATTTTATCATTTTTAGTGACCTTGACCTTGCATATATTAACCTAAATTACATGTTTCACATCCCTCAATCCCTCAATAAATAATGACTAAATGGTTCGAATGGTGGTGAACATTTCTATGAAGTTTCATTAGAATCCCTCCATATATGTAGGAGATATGCTCCAGACAAAAATTGGAAGCAGCCTACCCACAAACCCGCCCGCCCGCCACGGGTAAAACTATAATACAACCCATTTTTCATAAGGGCACATAAAAATGAAATACATTTTCTTGTTTTTTGTTTTATTTGGTTTTACACTGCAGGAACACAATTTATGTCATACGGCTCCAAAACAGGGAAGATGAAATGAAATATGTAAACAAACAATTTTTCATGCATTAATTAGTGTAAGAAGCCATATACTTACATGGCACTGAGGAATGCTGCACCTAGACTATACAGGAAGGATCTATATACTGTCATCACTATGAAGGTAAGATAAAGAACCTCAGTTACAGGAATGAGGACAAGTATAGACAACAACACAGATAGAGCACTTGCTAGAGCCAATGGTAATACTGCAGGCATTATTTCCCTGTACATCTGAGATTTACCATCTGTAATATAGTAAAACACATTACATATTATACAAACATTTTATATATATGACTAGATGCCCAGAGGGCAACAAGTCAAGCCCGCTATCACATCTGACCTTGAGGTATGACTTTAACATTTGATCTAGTTTAAAGGTTCTTGCACGTGACACGCCATCTCATGATGTTGAATATTTGTGCCAGGTTATTTGAAATTCCACCAACTAGTGATAGAATTATGGACAAGCTGTTTGAGACGATTTTTTTTTGCATTTGACCTTAAAGTATGGCTTTGACTTTTGACCTAGCCGGATGGTTCTTGTGTGCAACACACCCCCTCATTATTGTGAATTTTTTTAAAATTTTGGAATATACGAGGGTTGTCTCAAAAGTCTGTGACAAATTTTATAAACTGTTCATTTTTAACGCCAATAGATAATAATTCACACATATTACCATTAAGTTTATTATTTAACATTACAACAAATCATTTACTCTAGTTACTTAGAAATTTTCAGTATTAACAACATTGGTTTGAGTTGTCGGCGCATGTCAAATAATTTGCATTTTGTTATGAATAGGCTAAAATTAATAACATATATTTCAATTATCTGATGATGTGTCTGCATGATGTCACGTTGACTTCCTCTGCTGCTATGTTTACATCATCTCAAATAACTTAAGAAACAAACAAGATACTGATAAATGAAAATACCCATACAAAAATAGGAAAGTAAAAATGGCGATGTTCGAAAGAATTTGCGGCGCAGTGAACAGGTCACTCAGGTTTTGTGACTATTTGGAGAAGACTCATGTTACAATTTTCAACAAATATACCAAATATAACAGTTAAGCAACATATCCTGAGCATTTGTTTACTAACCGCATGAACGCAACCAGAGTTCTGCGCTACAAAAAGCGAAAATAAGGAAAACACAAATAGGAAGACCAATCTCCGTCTCCTATTTCCTACAGCTTAAAGCAGGTGCAATGAGACCGGAAATTCGCATATAGCAAAAAATAATGTATGCCATCCAAACATTCAACAGACATTAACAACCACATGATTTAAGTCTGTTCTTGCCGATATATGGGTAAAGCTGCACCATTATTGCCTTGAAAGCCATTGGGAGTATTTGAGAAAGGCGCCCTATATAGATTAAATGCCGTCTTTGATGTTTGACGTGCTCCGCGATTCAGATAGATGACATGGTGTTTATGGCATATTATTGTTGTTTGTTGATATATTTCTATGTAAATTTGTAAAAATGTTTTAATTATATGGGTTTATAACATATTAAAATATCAAATTCGTACCTATTTTATTCAGCTTTTAAACAATCTTGTCACAGAATATTGGGACAAACCACATATGTTTAGTACAGCTTAACCATTCCACTAAATTACAATAGGTTTTTGAAAGAGTATTCTTTTATGTCTTACTTTGCCACTAACTTTATTGATTTTTCCATCCTTAAAATATCAAGCTATTACATACATGTAATCCCACATTGTATAATACAATACCTGTATATAAAATATTAAACTTGAATTCCTACCTTCAGCATTAAACTAATTGAATATACTAGTTTTAAGTCTGGAAATGATGATTAATTTATGATCAAACTTTGTTGACATATCATATAGATAATAGAATTACCTGAGAATACTCTTTTCTGTGAATCATAAACTATCCCAGAGAGAAATGAGGTCAACAGTCCACCCATCATGATATAGAAGCATATATCTGTGAAATAACTTACTGAAAACAAAACAATACAATACATACTTATTACTTAGTTCATTTCAATGAAAACTGTACATATTTGAAAACATGTTTTATCTTATATACATTATTATTTATATCATTACAAACTATATATTGTTTTACTATATTTTCAATATTAAACATGGGAACACTTGTAAAATCTGAAGGACTTAAACTAGCTTAAAGATTGTCATTTATAATAAATCTAACAACTCTGTAGTTTATTTCTTCAAGTTTTTGTTCAAACTTCCATACTTTCAAACTTCCATACATAGAGGAGCAAGAGTCAAAATAACCAACCTTGTTTCTCATCTCCATCTAAGATTCTATTTAAATATGGATTAAGTGTCCCCAAAATGTAATAGAATCTGAGTTGTAGAATACATAGCCAGATGACATGTGTTATAAACTTTGTCTGTTTTAGGCAACTCAATAAACTTGGTAATTCTGTTTTAGCAGCAGTTCCCTCCCCTGTAATAAATTAAACATATTAACATTATCGATATTTTCTTGAAAGAGGTATGATTCCCTTTCTACAGCATTAAATGACTTAATTATGACTGACAAAGCCACTGCTTGTATTTATTAATACAAAATCATACAATCAACATACCAATTACTAAATTATACACGATAAAACAATTAATATTCACATGACCAATATATCTACAAATCACATTGTAGAGATGATACTTTTACTGGCATGTGACTAAAGATTGTTATCTAAGGATAAAAAAGACAATTTCCAACAAAATCTATCGCATACATCATTGAACTAAGGCAAAATCAAAACATTTTTCCATAAATGCTAAAACACACAGATTCTGGTCTGGTGAGCAAACAAAGGCACAATACATTTTGAAATCGCTGAATTTTTATTCAAAAATTTCCTTTGTCTTATATCAACGCTATAAACCATTTTAAAGTAGATTATAATAATGTTACAAAGAAAGAGTTTCTATCTAATTAAAGGAAAAAGATGTAGTAGAAGAAGTAATGTGATAATTTAACATATACATGTACAGTAAAGACAAGCACCTGTTTGATTATTTTGCTTCAGAAGTTCTATCCCAGCTTCACCATCTTCAGGAATCTCTGATTCCATACCTTGCTTTACAACAGGTTTTGATATGAAATCTTTTGGAAGGAAGAAAAATGTGCTGACCAAGAAAAGGGAATGCATTACTGTGATAATAATAAACATGTTCATTCTGCTGAAACCATTCTCATATGCAATCTGAAAAATACAAATTCTAATCTACAATATCTAATTTATGATATATCTTTATTAACAATTTCGAGTACAGTTCCAAAACCTGGCTGATTATCTCTAAAACAAGAATTGTCAAAGGGACAGCATACTCAACTTTTCTCAGTGCATTTTGTGAGAATGGCATGAAAACGTTTTTTCAGTGTGTTTAGGTTCAACTATTTTTTTTTCAATATGAGCAAAATTTCTGGAATCACAAAGGAGAATAATTAAGTAAAAATTTCAAGCTAAAGTAATGGGTCTTTGTCAGTGATCTCAAAGTCGTACCCTGACAACATATGTGAGATTTCAAGTGGAAACCTTTCATAGTAAATTAGAAAACAATTATGTATCCAAAACTTTAACCAAGACTTTCGCAAATAAATCCAAAATGATGTAGGCAGTGAATTTTCATCTTATACAACAGAGGCCTTTAAAAGGCTCTTCCCACTTTTCTTTAAAATCATGCAGTATTCCCAAAAATCTGAACCTTCACCAGCTTTTTTGCTTCCCAAATTAGCAATTTTAGCATTATTTTTTCCCAAATTCAAGAGGCTAAGGTCTCTTTCCAATAGAGTGAGAAAAACCACTGGCTGTTTTAGGCGGCATCCAAATTCTTCCAAATATACAAAAATTGGATGATATTTGATTTCACTCTAGATCACTACTTAGAAACAGTCTGTCCTTAAATCAGCTATAATCTGCAACAAAACTAACTTTCAAAGTGCCCCAATTTGATATTTTGCAAAACATTTTTTTCTGATTTTTAATTAGCATAAAACATGTATTCGTAACAAATACATCATACACAGAAAAAATACTGACCTTGACAATAAGCATGACAGCAGATGACATATCAAACCCACCACACAGTAACCCTACGACTGATGAACTTCCTGCCAAAAACAAATTGGATACCTGAAATAAGATTAACTTTTGCATTTTATATTCTGACCTACATACATTATTATGTTAATGTGATAGACAAGGTCTAAATCAGCAATATAACTGCTTAAAGACAGAGTTAAAACCATTCTGCTCAATATATAATATTTTCAAATTAAAACATATCATACACAAGGAAAACATTTAGTAATCACTTAAATTGATAGACTATGAATACTTGAGAAATCTAGTCTAGGAGCATGTCCCTATATGGGTAGTTAATCAGTAAAGTCAGGTAAATTTCCAAAACCGGACCCTCTGAAACCAGAATCCTCTGAAATCCCAACAATTTTTAAAGTCCTATTTTATTCATAAATATCAATAAATATATATATATAACTTGAATCCTCTAAAACTCTTTTAAAAGACTTTTGTCGAGTCCAAGTTGGACCAAGCAGCTTCTGGTTTTCAGAGTTATTAAGTGAACACTTAGAGACTTTGATTACCTGCGTGTTTGTTACTAAGATAGGAAGACCACCTGTACCCATCAGAGACAGTCCTGGAAACATCAACCATGGATTCTCCTTGCTAATAAATGCCATCATTAACGTACCAGACACAAACATTGTACTAAAATATACAAGCTTTATTGTTACATAATATTCATATATTCATTGTCAATACTTTTCCTTTACTGGAGAAATACCTCAGGTAACCCTTTACGCATTTGCCATTACTTCAGATACACACAGGCATCTGAGTAGACCTCCAAACTTCCATTAGCTCACATGACAGAATCCAAAGCCCATGGTTTGATCCAAAGCAACAGTGAGTGGTCACTGGTGAGATGCAAGTTATTCAACCTTACCATTCCACCTGAAGGCAGCAATTGTTAATTCATCAAGTAACAAAGCTAAAAGACAGAATGCTAGGACCAGCAAGGTGGCCTGATTTCATTCTGGTTGTATGTAATTTTCAAAACTTATACTAACCAAGTTATATGTAATTGCCTGCAAAATAAATCAATTTCCAACCTCTGCAATGATTTTATTCAATAATGCAGTGTCGGTAAAAAATAACCGTTTTAAATTCAAATGTTTATAAATAGTCTTACAACATCCACGTCAATATGTTTAATAAACTTTAGTCAACAAATACCAGACAGTCTATATCATGATGTGAGAGCCACATGTTATAACATTCCATTACTGTATAGCGCATTATATCTGCGGTGTCAAATGTTGGCGTTTTTTAAAGTGTTTTGAATTGGCGGGGTCATAAATTGGCGCAAACGCTTTTAGACCGCCAAATTAAAACACTTGTTGGCATAAATATGGGGTCATGAATTGGCGATTACAAATAAAGAATAAAAAAAATAAATAAAAATAACACCGGTCACGCAGTAGTTGACTGTCCTCGTTTATTTTACGGCATACGGTATACCTATGCTTGGTCACCTTTATCTTTACATCGTGCTAATTCTGAACGATTTTAATAAAAACATGAACTATTTTTGTTATTATTTGTATTAGGTGTAAATATGGTACCGTGTGGTAACTGGACCATGGAAGAGAAAGGTATGCCCTATTATCCTGCAGTCTTTAAAGCGTGAAAAATTGTTCACGGTCACCACAACTGACTGCTATATAATTACAGTTATCATTAGTTTTATTTCAAATTATGAAACATAACAGTGAAAACAAAACAAATACTAGTTTAGATTTAGATTTGTTTCTCGTCGTGTGATCATCTTGGTAATAAATACAGTATATAGATATATAATTAAATGAGTTTCGTACCAAGACTTAAAAATAAACAAATTCTTTTCAGCTTACTTGTAATGTTTATTTTTATTACAAATAATCAAGGGAGATTACTCGGACAAACCAAAGCTATTTTACCATGAGTTGTCTACCTTTCAAAGAATAATGGCAATGATCTAAAATGGCGGTGCTTTAAATTGGCGGTGTTTTGAATTGGCGCTACTGACCCTGACCGCCAATATAGCCAAATATAAACCCCCGCCAAAATAAGTACTTATACAGTATGTATTAATAAATTCTATCAAAACTTAAAACTAACAGCTAGATTGTACAAAATGTTATGTTTTTTCTCTCCTTTTTTCTGCAACTTACTTATTACCCATTCTTATATTATTGTGTTATTAAAAAGTGATCTAAGACATGCACATCTTCAGCAATCCTTAACAATATTATACATTTTTGTATAAAGCATGAATGTTCTACTTACAAGGAAATTAATCTTGTTACTCTAGTTCCAAACCGGAAATGGATATAACCCAAGACAGCACAGCCAATACAGAACATGGCAGATCCAACAGTAAAACATAGCGCCATTTTACTGTCCTGGGGTTTACATGGTTGCTTCTTGGCAGAGACTTCAGACATATTTGATGATGTTGTTGTAGCATTTAACATTACCACATTCACTACTGATGATTCACTATTATTCACAGAATAAGTTAGGAAAGAACTATTAACTGTATCTTCACATAAGTCAGCGTATATACCTTCAGATTTCAGTACAAAGTTTATAGAAGCCCATCCATATAAAAGTCCAGCAAAGAACAAACATTCCATGAACGCCCATCCGGCAACCAGCCATTTCTTCCAGCCTATATCACCTTTACTTGTATCAGATAAAACCATGGTGATATTCTTGTTGTACTCACTAAACAGAAGTACAAGTATCTTATGTTTAAAACTGTCAAGTCATTAATCTTGTTATCCTTGATCTATACCTTGATATTCATCCCTTGTAATTCATATCATTGAAACCATGTCTGAAAGTAGAAAAATTATGCTAAATAATATCAAAATTGTAATAAAATCTTGATAATAAGTTTCTTGTCCTAAAGATATGAATAACAAAATATATGTCTTACTATTAAACCTTGATAAAAACAGACAAACGAAACAAATTAAAAGTACAATGTCCTGTTTTAGCAGGAAATAATGTGCATAGTGTAGTAAACAATGCAGGTTTTATTTTTATATCTAAACCATCATGAAACTTCCAAACTTTATACAAAACAGGGACCAATGAATTCATACAATATATATATACAATTGTTATGTTGTTGTTTAGTTGTTTTTTTAACTAAAGATACATGCCTCGAGATGAGAAAATTTTTTTTTCAACAAAAAATATTTTGAGAAAAAGGTTCCAAGATCTTTCCAAAAGTAAAAATACTCACAATTCTAGTAATGATTTACTTGTTATATGCAAAATGACTGATTTTGCAGTATTTTTCACCATATTTCTACTGTGTGACTAATGCAGTTAGGGTTATTGTTACATAGTTTGACCTTTATTTTGTAATTTACAATGTGTAAAGTACTTACTTTGTTCACTTGACAATATTTTAATTTTAAATAGATTTTCAAAATTTTCATGAAAATAAGCGTGAATACAGAGGCATGCAGCTTTAAGCTTAAAATAAAAATTACAATCAATATAATACTAGTATAATGTACACAAACCTAAAAAAAAATTAAAATCTTACTAAAGTTTAAAGTAAAGTCCTGTATTCAGCACAGATTTAGCTACACTGTGAAGTGTTAAACATTGTTTGATGTACTTAGTTAAATGTCAAGCTGAGTGATGACAACAATTTAGTATGAAAAACAAAATCCCAGTACTTGCACATTCATTTGCAAAAACACTTTCACCAGCTAAAAACACTTTCACAGGTAAAAACACATCAACAGGTAAAAATTATTTAACTGAAAAGAAGCAGACGCCATTATAGTGATGTCCAGCTGTGCAAATTTGTTGAGGTGGTCATTCAATTTTTTGAAAATATACATGTATCTTTTATACAAAACTAATATAGTTTTAGCATGAACTCTGAAAAATGATATACTGTGCTGTGTAATTCTAATAGATTTATGTCACTTCAAGCATTATAAAGGTCTCATTGATAATGTTCATTGATGCAAACCACTTTTCTTTATTAAATTATCTACTATAATTGGAGATGATGTGAAATATTTTTCTATCTCATGTGTATACACAACTTATTAATCTTTACATTACTGTATCTGTACAAGGCCAAAATCATTTACAGCTTTGAAAAACACTAGGGTTGCTAGATACAAAAACACTTTCCTTTTATAACAAAAACAATATGACATTGTATCAGTGAGTTAATAATGACATTGAAATTTTGGTAACATAAATGTGTGCCTTTAAAATGTATAATCACTCTGTTATTTTGAGAATAAAACTGTTTAATTATATTTATAATTATATACTATTTAATCTGCTATTGACTGTTTCGGGTGTATTTTGCTGTTGTTTTGTTTCGATTTATTTGTTTGTTTTTTTTGTGTTAACCCACACCCTTATGTGCAGTGTCTCATATTATTGTAAATGAATACATGTATAACTACACTGCAGTTTGGAGATAATTGTACATGTATATACTTGAACACAGTAATTACAGAGTATTCTCCTTTTCGTACATACCTAAAGTAGAATTCCTTTAATATTTCTGCAAAAGTTCTAATTCCAATACATCCATTCAAAAGATAAAGAGCTGGACACAATTTTTTTAATGCATATAAATATATAATGACTATGTGTGACCTTGAAATTGATCCGAGAAGGCAAGTGCTCTAAATTATATAGTCTAATTATGGTGAACATTTCAACTGGAAAGTTTCGGTTTTCTTCAATTCCATTCAAAAGATACAGAGCAGGTACAAAATTGTTAAAAGACAGATGGATGGCATGTAAAATAGGGACTTGGAGAGATAAGCAAATATTGGGAGATTGGTTCTTCATATTGCCACTAATTTGTGATAATGAAAATACCTACTTTCATTAACGTGAATCTATTGGTATAAAGTGTTGCATCTTTATAAATTTACACATGTATGTCTAAACAAGAGCGTTCAGTGATCACATGTGTCGCCTCATGATGGCCAATTTCATGTTTGGACAAGTTTTGTGACAGACGGACAGACAGACAGACAGTGCACAACTAGACTTGGTACTGATCATTCCTGAAAAGTTTGGATAAAATTGCACTAGTAGTTTATGAGGATTAGTCCGGACAAGCTTTTGTGTATCTGGCAACACAAATAAAAAACACCTTTTTATCAAAGGGCCATAACTCGGCCAAAAATCATTCAACCAGAAAACCCGTGCAATCTGGGCAAGGACTTGAGCTACAGATCAACCCTGTAAAGTTTCATTGAAATTGCATTAGTGGTATAAGAGAGGTAGTCCGGACAAACTTTAAAAATAAAAATTATTAAAGGGCCATAACTCTGACAAAAATCATTGAACCGGAAAATGCTGACAATATGCACAACTAGACTTGGTACTGATCATTCCTGTAAAGTTTGGATGAAATTGCACCAGTAGTTTATGAGAAGTAGTCCGGACAAGTTTTGTGACAGACGGACAGACGGATGTTCTCACAGGACAGTAATTATGTGGCTACTCTATTGTTCTCTCTATTGTTCTTTTTAGCCACACAAAAGAAAATAGCCACATAAAAGCATTACGGAATGAATGACATCAAAGAGAAAGAACAGTTACCTATTGTCCCTCTAGCCACTTAATTACTGTCTTGTGAGTGCGGACAGACAGACAGACGGACAGACAACGGAGAAATGATCCCTATATGTCACCACTACTCTGTAGAGGCGACACAAAAAGTATGTCAATGGTCAAAGACAATACCATTCAGGTCAATCAGCTATGGTCATAGCACTATGTAACCATATTACCATATGTTTGGGTGATGTATGTAAAGCAATTATGTGCCAGGAGGTTATGTTCTTTTTTTTATCAACCATTGATATGTTTCTTATGTTATTTACTAACGTTTTTATAAACGACAATCTATTATGTTTTTTAATATATTGAAAATAGACAAAAACAAGAGCTGTCAGTTGGGCAGCATACTAAACTATTTGAGTTTAGAGTAAAACAACAGCCTTGATAATGAAGCTATAAACAAACCTAAAGGGCCAAGATAGACCTGGATTGCTCACCTGTGACAGATTGCAAGAAAAGGTATAAAAAAATACCCAATGTATAAAACAGTAATGAGGTCACTTTTGGTTTGCTGTTTTTTACACAAGCTGTATAAGGTAATTTTGAAAATATTTGTAACAAGAGGGCCATGATGGCCCTGAAATCGCTCACCTGAAATAAAAGCTCTACATGACAATGAACAAGTAATATTGTAAACGATATGAAATCTAAATTCTAAACTGATATCACAAAGTTCATATTTATATCTGAAATACTGCATGTGTAAAAGCAGAGCTCCAGATAGCGTGCGTATAAGCGTAAAATACGCATAGAAAATCTTAAATACGCATCACTTTCAAAATTCGTGCGTCACAGTTATGCACAACAAAATGAAAATACGCTCGTATGTCAAAATTTATGCGTAAAAGAATAGAAGTGTAAACATTTGATATGTAGAAAGAAAATGTTTTGAGCATAAAATACAGTATATTTCCATTTAATTGCATTGAAAACAAAAAATTCTGTTGTCAACAACGCATGTTAAAAACGAAAGTAGCAGGAAATACAGAAGGGAGGTAACTCCCGTAGATCTATCAACCTGTGAAATTATTGATGAAATTTGTGCCAGATAATCATCGTAGGAGTTAACACAGTATTAAGTTTGTTTAGGCATCTATTGACATACTCAATATAAACAAAAATATATTTTAATAAAATTTCTTTAACTTTAACAAAATAACATGTTATTCACCTGCAGTTTTGTACTCAATATTTTCGTACCCAGTCTACAGTTACGGACAATTTTCTCTCAGACCAATAATTTTTTTTAAGGAAAGATAAAAAAATCTTGTTTATGTTTCTTTAATTCTAATTTCAACTATAATTGTTCAAACTGGAGTACATGATAAGGTACATGCCAACAAAAATAAAGAAAGAAAAATATTGACTCCTAGAAAATAAAATAACTTGAGGGCTTCCACTAGTGGAAGTTTGGGAGTCTTTTATTCCTTCAAGTGGCCTGTGACTTCCAAAAATCAATACTTTCCTTCTTTACCTATATAATGTGACTTCCAATATCAGAGATTTTGAAGTCTTTGACTTCCAAATTTTGAAAATGGAAGCCCTGATAATTTTGCTGTGTATCCTAAACTTGAGTTCCAGTATACTCTGGAAGTCTGACTTTACATGGCATGTTTTGTATTGTTTCACATTAAATCAGTATTTAATTTGTAAAGGTTTTTCTAAAAAAAGAAAATAAACAAACAAACAAACACAACAATAAGTTTAATTTGTTTATAAAAAATGCAAAATGCTTTTTTGACAGATTTTACCCCTTAAGTTTTTCAGAATTTGCATTTTACCCCTCACTCTAAATTTTGAGGGGTAAAAACCCCTTGGCCAAAAAAATTATCTGGAGCTCTGTAAAAGCATTATGCATTGGATGCTATTGCTAAGGGAAAACAACAGTTTCAAAAGATGTGTACTTATGTCACGGGTCGATTTATGAACAATTACTATAACAAATAAATCGAGCCTTGACACTTTTAAGGAAAATCAATGACCCTAGGGGATGGGGCAATTATTGACCGTTGAACAAACTTGGTAAACATTCACTAAAATATGTTTCCTGCTAAATATCTGAGACTTAAGCTCTAGATCTTTGGGGTTTTTACAAGAAGATTTTTAAGTTTTTACAATATACATATAAGGAAAATCAATAACCTCCTTAAGAGAGGCCAATTTTGCCCCAAGAGCTTTTATTTGAACAAACTTGGTAGATACCCATAAGAA